ATGAATTAATCAGTGCAAGGGTATACTCACGCATGTGAGTGGTGTGTGTGTGTGTGTGTGTGTGTGTGTGTGTGTGTGTGTAGTGCTGGGGATGAAACACGGGCCTCCTGCATGCTGGGCAGGCACTCTACCACTGACCTACATCCTTAGCCCCAGCACAGGAGCTTTAAAGTCTGTAGATTAATTGTATGTCCTCGAAGGCAGCATTATGTAACATACTGAGGGAAGAAACAAGAAATAGAAGACCTTCTTCCTACTATTAACCTCTGCATCTACCCAGCAAGAAAGTTACTCGCTGTGCTGTGGTATCTTCTATAAAGCAACCACTTCCAAGGATCCCTTACAGGCTAAGTATCCTGACACCTGATGAGAGAAATTTCACATTTTTAAAAGATATTAAATTTTTCTAATACACTATATCAATTTGCTCAAAAACACAAAACATTTCAGTAAAATTAGCTTTTTGATGAAACTAATTATATAACATCATGAGCTGGGGATGGTAGCGCACGCCTGTAATCCCAGCACCCAGGAGGCTGAGGCAGGAGGATCTTGCGAGTTCATGGCCAGCCTGGGCTACAAAGTGAGTTCAAAACCAGCCTGAACTACATAGTGAGACACTGTCTCAAAAAGACCAAAAAAGAAAAAGAAAAGAAAAGAAAACTATATAACATCATTAATGAGAAGTGAGTGTTTAAGACAAAATTGTACTATTTGAGCAACGTAAGTAAGAAACCTGAAATGCTGGGTTATACAACAATCTTTCATCTCCTCTCCCTATTTAAGTCTGAAAACCACAGTTAAGGTTTGCTGCTTTTTCAATTCCCACATCATTTCTCAATATAAAAAAATCTTTCTGAAAGAAATAATATATTTATCCCATGTCTGAGTTACATACCTTTTAAAACAAGATTTTATTTCAGTAGTTCACACTCACACTCTATGGGCAAATCACCTTAACTACTCACCAGAGTCCTAAAACATACTACAGTTAGCGCTGTGAAGGAAGGCAGCTGCACACAGCAATGCCCAGTGCTCCTTTTACACTCGCTGGACTGTGACCTGAGCACTGAAAAATGCAGTAAAATAAACTGAAAACCACGTCATACAAGGGCAAGGCCTGTCTGTAAAACTTTGATTTAAAAGTGATTAATGAGTAGGCCACTGTAAACACTAATAATGTCAAGATTTAATCACCTTCCAAGGCTTAAAGATGTTTCCTGGTCACTAAATTGCCCAAGCTGGCCTCAGACTCCAAATCTTCCTCCCCAGACTGCCAGACTGCTGGCATTACAGGTGTGCGACACCAGGCCCAATTCTTTTCAATATTTTTTGAGGCAGGATCTGGCTAAATCACTAAATTGCCAGGGGGCTGGGGCTGAATGTTCAGTCTTTTTGTCTCAGCCTCCCAGAATGCTGGGATCATAGGCCTGGGCCCCTACACTGGTTAAAGCCCTGCTCTCAAGGCTGTTTTCAATTAAAATTTAACCCCCTCTTTCTAAATGACGTCATTTACTTCCTCTCTATGTTGGTTTCATTGAGAAGAAAGGAAGCCTTGAAATAAGTAAAGCTCTCATTTCAGTACCACTTCAGGATCTAAGCAAAGCAAGAAACTCCAGAACCTTTGCTTTAGCTTCCAAAACAAAATCTGAAATGCCAATCCAATCATAATGGGGGCGGGTATTTTGAGATAAGGCCTCATTATGTAGTTCAGGCTGGCCTTGAACCCACTGTGTAGCCCAGGCTGGCCTCGAACTGATGGTGAGCCTCCTGCCTCAGCCTCCCAAGTGCTGAGATTACAGGCATGAACCAACACGCCCAACAACTATAAATTTCAAGATGCCAATCTTTTGGCCCACAATTTGTCCTTTTATCTCCTAAGCTCCACTGGGAAAACACAGTTGGGTAGGTCGTTCTCAAAGCTTAAATTCCAAGTTTCTTAGTTTGGTTAACTACACTGTGCTTGGTGACTCTAAAATTATAAGCACAGATCCCAGAGGAGAACATTTCTTTTATTAGCAATTGGCTTTGAAAATTCCATTCTAGGATGCTAAATATAACAAAATACCTCCTGAATTTTATAAACACATTCCCCAGATTATGTTGATACTAATGATTTTCTATTTACAAGGCAGTTTTGCTACAGCATTTAAGCAACTGTAACATTTTGAGGAATCTTTCAGATTTGCTCTAGCTCTTTTAAAGAATTAATCTGAAAAATGTTCTCTGGATTCTTCTACTATGAAATAGGAAAGTTCCCGTTTCACAGTTCATTTCCTTAAAAAGACATCCTTGTCTTGTTATTTCTAATGTCCTTGGATTGTAACACAAGGACACTGGCAAATCCAGAATTACAGAAGTAGGCTTTTCTTCAAACCATGCAACAGAATAGACAAGAGTTCTTAAAATCTTGCACCTGCCTGGCAAGCGCAAGGTCGTGAGTTCGGTTCCTGGTACCGGAGAAAAACCAAAAAAAAAAAGAGTTCTTAAAATCTTTTACTATATACATCCATCAAAAACAAATAATGCATTTCACAACTTTTTTTTGGGGGGGGTCTTTTTGAGACAGGGTCTCACTTTGTAGCCCAGGCTGGCCTCAAACTCACAATGATCCTCCTGCCTCAGCCTCCCCAGTGCTAGGATTACAGGCATGCGCCACCATGCCTGGCTACCATTTCACAACTTTTTAAATGTGCCCTTATTTTAAAAACCTCATAATGACAATTCATAAATAATGAGTGAGAAGCTGATACCTTGCCGGGCTGATGGTCCACATCAGGCTCTTAAAAGAATGCACAGCTGCTGTATTTTGGGGAATAACAAGCACCTAGCAGACCTTAGAACCCCAGGCATCCTTCCATTGTTACACGAAACCCACTGTGTGCCCGAAACCAACCACTGTACCAGCGCAGTTGTCATTCCTGAGGCACCTGTCGCTGGACAGCTCCTCAGGTCCTCCCTACCTAACACATAGATGTAAAAGTAACAATCAACCTGCAACTTTACCTTTGGAGGATTCATCCAAGAAAGCTGGACACAGAGGCTAAAAATTTGGTTTCACCAACAACACCATGGTTGCTTTCTTGTTTTCTTTACCATGTTTAATTATCATAAAGTTAGCTTTTCAAAAATACAGCTTACCAGCTATCATGCATTTTTTTTTCCCTCTTTTCACACCTTCCCGACCCACAGAGCCCCATCAACATCAAGTATGATCTCACCGGGCTGGGGATTTAGCTCAGCGGCAAAAGCACCTGCCTGGCAAGCGCAAGGTCGTGAGTTCGGTTCCCGGTACCGGAGAAAAAACAAAGTATGATCTCACCCTCAGACAGGGCCACAGAGCCTTCAAACTCCCAACTAAGTGGCATGCAGGATGAGTCCAGAGTCCTCTGAGGCTGAACCAAGACATTCAACAAAAGATTAGAGACTTCAAAGTATCTTATCTCTGCAAATGACTCCTAAACTGTACTTCCAACCCTAAATTTTCTCCAAAATATGTTCTAAATATCACCAATATGGACGGTTCTTACATAATCCACTGTCAACACAGTAACAGTGTCATTTTAAACATCTCATTATCTTTCACTTGAAACAGTCTTGGGGCTGGGGGTTTAGCTCAGCAGCACAGCACCTGCCTGGCAAGCGCAAGGTCGTGAGTTCGATTCCCGGTACTGGAAAAAAAAAAACACCAAAAAAGAAAGAAACAGTCCTCCTAGCAGGACTGCTCTGTTCCAAGCTGTCACCAATAGTGTGCTTGCTGCCTTCCTGGCGTCTCCCTAACGCACCTTCCCCGGTGAACAGAAAGTACAGACTCAGTGAGCGTACGCCGCGGGCCTGGTATCAAGACAGCGGAGATTGGTGAGAACAGACGATCCTCAGCTCCAGCAGACCACTAACCAGGTGAGAATCTGATGGCAGATCCGCCAATTATTCAAGACAGGCAAGAAATTCAGATTCTCGGGGGAAGCTTTCTGACGTTTAAAGCAACCTGTGGGCCTAAGAAAACATCTGCAGGTCCCCCGCTGGCAAGCTCCGAGCTAACTAACCAGGATATTCCGGTTCAGGCTCCCTCTGTCTATTCTAATCATCGCTGCGTGATCAGTTATCCAAACACACTGCTCCTGCTCACGTCACAACCCGAAAAGCACAAACGCTACCCCAAAAATCGCAAACCTACCGGGCACTGTGGCGCACACCTGTAATCCTAACACACTCAGGAGGCTGAGTCTCAGGGATCGCGGTGAGTTCGAGGCCACCCTGGTCTTCTGTGGTCATTCCACCTCCGGAGCAACACAACCGCTCTCCCCCTTCCTGTACACGACCTTTACACAAACCGTGCGCATCAACCAGGAGTCCACTCCTCCTGCCCCTCACCCCCAGCCGGCTCTGTGCCCAAGATGGCCTCCTTTTTACCTCCCTCCTTTACCCCGCTGGGGCCCACTCCGGGCGCAGGGAAGGAGCCCACGCATCGGGACTGGACGCCCCACCCCGCCCCCACTAACGGGCTGGTTGCTGCGTGAAATCCGCACGCTTCTGCTCAAAGGCAATGGCTCCACGAAAGGGTTAAATCTCGCAGGAGACAAACCCTAGGGCCTCGTCTTGATTCCCCCCACCCCCAAATAACACTGTAACGGGGAGCGATGAGCCCGTCTTCCTCCCGGGGGGCTCCG